ATCGGAACTGAATGCTGAATTGCAAGCTATTGTGACAATTATGTGAAACTGAAATTTGAATTGATTTTTTAAATATGCATTGTTACGTAAAAGTTTGTGACATCCATTAAATTTATTGAAAGGGCAAATGTATTTGTGTATCTAGAATATTGCTTTATTATATGGTTGTTGAGAAGATGCCAATGAAAATGACTGGAGAGAATACTGTAAATGTTTAAAAAAAGGAAAAGATTAAGGAAAAGAGAGAGAGAGAGAGAGAGAGAGGAGAGAGAGAGAGAGGGGGGGGGAGGGATTATTGAAGAGTAAAAAGAAAGAAGAAAGATTATGGTACAAGACCTTTATTACTAGAATAAATCTCAGTTGGTAGGCATCATTTCATCAGTCGTTAATGCAAGTTTTAAAAAAGCCACAACATAATTTGCCGGGCCCTGGATTGTCCAGAAAAGGTTTGAGAGCTACTGCTTTAGAGTATCCTGGGACCAAATAGAAACTTGATGCAACGTACTACACAGTCATGAGTACAATTTGTAAGAGGATAGGAGACTGAGGTATAACTGTACTGTGCATCAACACTCTTTGTCATAGAATGATTTATGAGGAAGATGGCAAGTAGAATAAATATACAACATCTGCGATAGAATATACTGTAACCTATGCACATGTACAGAAATTGTAATAGTCTACTTTTCAGCATCAAGAGAGTTTTTTTTACATTTTGTGTGTGATGGAAATATAGAGACATGCAAACTATTTTTTGTCAAAAATATTAAGGAGTGGTTAAGAAATCAGGCTACCAGAGAGATTTCAGAGAGAAAGGATTAACCTCACATGACATGTATGTTTATAGGACTACCAAAATATGTCATCCAGTTCCCACTGCACACCAAACCAATTCATATTTCATGTGATATACTGTACACTCTGTATGTAACAGGAATATAACAGAACTATTTTATGTGTAATATGAAACTCTTTGTTAATACATACATGTACATGTACGTTAATAAGAAGACAATCTACATGACATTTGAAAGACTAAAGCCAGTATTACAACAGATATTGATAAAATAGAGCACAATCCTTGCCCTTTATTTCTTTATTAAAAAAAAAGGACCATTTTAAAGACAAGATTCACATCAATTATTGTTGTTTCAGTCAACTTCATCAAATGTGATTGCAATCAGCCGCGATTTGTGCCAATTTATCGTAAATGTACTGCACAAAGGCCACATTGGACAACGGAATAAATAAAAGTGGGCTCAAATGCTTCAATGTGGGGGTTTTCCCCCTCTCTTTCTCCTTCTCCCCGTTTTCTTCTCTTTCTCCTTCTCCCCGTTTTCTTCTCTTTCTCCTTCTCCCCGTTTTCTTCTCTTTCTCCTTCTCCCCGTTTTCTTCTCTTTCTCCTTCTCGCCATTTCTTCTTTCTCTTTCTCCTTCTCCCCGTTTTCTTCTCTTTCTCCTTCTCCCCGTTTTCTTCTCTTTTTCCTTCTCCCCGTTTTCTTCTCTTTCTCCTTCTCCCCGTTTTCTTCTCTTTCTCCTTCTCCCCGTTTTCTTCTCTTTCTCCTTCTCCCCGTTTTCTTCTCTTTTTCTTCTCCCCGTTTTCTTCTCTTTCTCCTTCTCCCCGTTTTCTTCTCTTTCTCCTTCTCCCCGTTTTCTTCTCTTCTCCTTCTCCCCGTTTTCTTCTCTTTCTCCTTCTCCCCGTTTTCTTCTCTTTCTCCTTCTCCCCGTTTTCTTCTCTTTCTCCTTCTCCCCGTTTTCTTCTCTTTTTCCTTCTCCCCCTTTCTCTTTTCCTTCTCCCCCTTTTCTTCTCTTTCTCCTTCTCCCCGTTTTCTTCTCTTTCTCCTTCTCCCCGTTTTCTTCTCTTTCTCCTTCTCCCCGTTTTCTTCTCTTTCTCCCCCTTCTCTTCTCTATATCTCCCATTAATTTTCTTTTCTTTCTCCTTCTCCCACTTTTCTTCTTCACAGACTTCTTCTTTTTGCTCCTCTACTTTTGTTGTCTTCTCTTTTTTTTCTCTATTAAAGAACAATACAAAATAAATTAGAACAAAGTAAAATAAAATAAAGTGAAAAACGAACTGAAACAAAAACAGAGAATTGACTTACATCTCCTTAAATTTTCATCAAAATTTGCAAGACACCTTTAAATTTTGGTCATTTAATTTTATTAAAATGATTGAAATTTTTCATACAGATATCTGCTACTAGTATATCATTAGGTACATGTAGTGGCATGAAGAGACACATCCAGAACTCAAAAATCTCAAATGCATAATTGCTGGAAATCCCTACTATATCACAAAAATATATAACCACATCTACAGGATAGGGATCTTGTAAATGTACTACTATGGTGCTTGCAGGGCCCTCAGGGAGAACAGTATGAATACTGATGAGGCTACCCTGGGTAAACAAGACATATTATTATAATTATTATAATTAGACTTAATTAACTTCATTCACATACATCAAATAAGAATTTTCAATTCACAAAACACCCACTATTAAACTATTGTGCCTTCTGCATTCATCTTTTTGTGCCACTAAATTTTGCTATAAGCTACCGTATCTATAGGTTACATAGATAGACTGTACATCAAGACACAGTTGATCGCTTCATTGACGGAAAAGCAATTGATTGGTAATTAATCAACTAACATGACTGAAATTCTTAAGATACATATCTGCAATGATTAATTTCATTATTATTACCATGATTATTACTTTGCTAGCACCATTAGATTATTGATATCAAACAACATTTTCATTACTATACAATAAACATACATGTATATGTTAGACATGTCTTAAAGATACAAAGGTGCGATAGGTCTACAGCTTGCCACGCAATATCAATTGCAAAGAGTGTAATTAGCATATTTTACTCCTGGTCATTTTCTGCTGGTTATATCAACTACAATAGATGGTCAAATGATGGAAGGCTGGCCAGTTCAAGAAACAAACAAGGCACTATTAAGAACCTTTATATATAGGAAAGTGTAATTAAGGCTATCTAGTATAACAGATGTTAACTGGAATGGTGTGTAATTTATATTCTTTGGGCGACAAGGGAGTATTTTCAATCATATTTGAGCGGCTCATATGGGTTTTCATATGCCTAGAGCAAGTCTTCAGAGAGTTACAGTAGAAGGCCTTACGCTCATATGAGTTTTCATATGCCTAGAGCAAGTCTTCAATGAGTTACAGTAGAAGGCCTTACGCTCATATGAGTTTTCATATATGCCTAGAGCAAGTCTTCAGTGAGTTACATGTACAGTAGAAGGCCTTACGCTCATATGAGTTTTCATATGCCTAGAGCAAGTCTTCAGTGAGTTACAGTAGAAGGCCTTATGCTCATATGAGTTTTCATATGCCTAGAGCAAGTCTTCAGTGAGTTACAGTAGAAGGCCTTACGCTCATATGAGTTTTCATATGCCTAGAGCAAGTCTTCAGTGAGTTACAGTAGAAGGCCTTACGCTCATGAGTTTTCATATGCCTAGAGCAAGTCTTCAGTGAGTTAAAGTAGAAGGCCTTACGCTCATATGAGTTTTCATATGCCTAGAGCAAGTCTTCAGTGAGTTACAGTAGAAGGCCTTACGCTCATATGAGTTTTCATATATGCCTAGAGCAAGTCTTCAGTGAGTTACAGTAGAAGGCCTTACGCTCATATGAGTTTTCATATGCCTAGAGCAAGTCTTCAGTGAGTTACAGTAGAAGGCCTTATGCTCATATGAGTTTTCATATGCCTAGAGCAAGTCTTCAGTGAGTTACAGTAGAAGGCCTTGCGCTCATATGAGTTTTCATATGCCTAGAGCAAGTCTTCAGTGAGTTACAGTAGAAGGCCTTACGCTCATGAGTTTTCATATGCCTAGAGCAAGTCTTCAGTGAGTTAAAGTAGAAGGCCTTACGCTCATATGGCTTTTCATATGCCTAGAGCAAGTCTTCAATGAGTTACAGTACAAGGCCTTGCGCTCATATGGCTTTTCATATGCCTTGTAAGACTACTTCGCCTAGAAAAACACTTCTGACATTCAGAACATTCAAGGAATCTTGTAGGTGAGCTAATACGCCCATCGGATGTGTTCAACAAATTAGAGGTTTCGGAAGAGTCTTTTGCTTTGCATGTTGGACGTCCACCATGCTGTCTTCTCGTATGCGTACCAATATGAGCATGGTAATTTTTCTTATGATCGAACGTCTTGCCACATATAAAACACAAATAAGTCTCAGGTTCTTCCTCATGTGATTGTTCATGCTTGCGGAGATCATGTGGTCTAGCAAACATTTTCCCACATTTGCAACACTGGTGGTCTTTTGTACCACTATGTGTAGCCATATGCCGCACAAGACCAGGCTTGGATAGACATCTTACATTAAGGCCCGGTCACACAGAGGGGACGCATGGGGAACGCACGGCCAGCGCATTGGAAATTTGCAATTTTGGCCAGTGCGTTGTCGTGCGCCCAACTTTTGTCGAAGCTACATGTACAGCGAGCTGACACCAAATGCATAACGTGTTGCTAGCGCGCTGAGCGCATACAGGGCGCATACAGACCGAACACAGAGCGCACATGATAACAACTTCCAAGAATGCACAGCGTGTTGCTAGCGCGCGGGACGAATGGTCCACGCATGCACCGCGTTCTACGACGCACGGCCAGCGCATTGGAAATCGGAAAAGGCCGTGTGCCTAACTTTTGTCATGATTTTGGAAAAGCTAGCGAGCTGACACAAAATGCACAGCATGTAGCTAGCGCGCTGTGCGTATACAGGGCGTGTGCTCCGCGTATGTCTGGCGCTGGTCCAGCGCGCTCAACGCACGTCTGGCGTGCCTTTGGCGTGTACATTCATGCGTCGAGCTCGGCGCACGTTTTTGAGCATGCTCAAAAAATCCCGACGCACACAGCGAATGACGACGTATGCATAGCGTGGGTCCAGCGCGCTCGACGAACGAGTAACGAGTGATGACGCACGCCTAGCGAACGACAACGCACTGGCCAAAATTGCAAATTTTCCATGCGCCGGCCGTGCGTTTCCATGCGTCCTCTCTGTGTGACCGGGCCTTTACATTCAGAACAAGGATATGGCTCACTTCCTGTGTGTCTCATCATATGCTTTTTCAGATCATGATTGCGATGGAACCTCTCGTCACATTCATTGCACTCAAAAGGCTTTATGGCTGAGTGTATTATCTTATGTGTGTCAAGGTATTCCTTCAAACTAAACCTCTTTCTACATTCAGAACATTTGTATGGTTTCTCATCAGAGTGAATTTGCATATGTACACTAAGGTAATCTTGGGACAAAAATGTCTCTTTACAAATTAGACAAGAATTGGATCCTTTTTCCTTTGTGTTTATTCATATCATGTGACTCCAATTCTGACGAGCTTTTGAACTTTTGCAAGCATTCAGAACATTGATAAGGCATTGGTTGGATGTGCGTTATCATATGGTTTGTTAAACCAACCTTCAAACAAAATATCTCATCACAATCTGTACATGGGTATGGACCCTGACCCTTTGCCTTCTGCAGATGCTTATTAACATCAGAATTTCTGTTGAATCTTTTCTTACATATATCACACTGGAAGGGCTTCTCCCCTGTATGTGTGCGAATGTGTCGATTAAGATCGCCTTGTGCCAAAAACTTCACATCACAATAGCTACATGAGAGTGTTGCCCTTTTGTGTCTTAGCGTATGCAACTTGAATTGCTTCTTTGAAACAAACTGCTTATAACATTGAGAGCATTGAAAGGGCCATTCACCTGTGTGTATTCTCATATGACGTTTGAGACCAGACTCTGAAGTGAAACCCTTCTTGCATTCACCGCATTGATAGATCTTATCTCCTGTATGCTCTTTCATGTGTTGCGTGAAAGTCATCTTTGTTTTAAATTTCTCGTTGCACTCAGGACATTGATAAGAACTCTTATCACTGCATGTCTTCTGTTTATCAAGGTCCTTTTGAAAAGACACATCACTGTCATCATTAGAGTCTTTGGACGTTTCGGGACTCTTTGCTTTCAGGTGTACTTTTCTTTCATGAATCAAAAGGTGATCTTTTCTTGAATATCGTTTACTGCATGAAGAGCAAGGATAAGGTTTCTCACCAGTATGCGTTCTCTCATGGTTAATGAATTCACTCTTGGAATTCAGTTTCCTGTTACAATAAGAGCATTGAAAAGGTTCATTACCTCCATGTTTTCTCAAGTGCATTGTTAGGTGACTTCTTTGGGAAAATCCTTTACCACATTCTGAGCACTTAAAGGGTTTCTCACCAGTATGTGTTCTCATATGTCTCATGAGATGAGTCTTGGAATTCAGTTTCCTGTTACAATAAGAGCATTGAAAAGGTTCGTTACCTCCATGTCTTCTAAAATGATCTTTTAGGACAGTCTTTGTGATAAAACCTTTACCACATTCTGTGCACTGAAAGGGTTTTTCACCAGAGTGTATTCTTTCATGAACCATAAGTTGATATTTTCTTGAAAATCGTTTACTGCATGAAGAGCAAGGATGAGGTTTCTCACCAGTATGCGTTCTCTCATGTCCCATGAGATGATTCTTGGAATTCAGTTTCCTGTCACAATAAGAGCATTGAAAAGGTTCGTTACCTCCATGTCTTCTAAAATGATCTTTTAGGACAGACTTTGTGATAAAACCTTTACCACATTCTGTGCACTTAAAGGGTTTTTCACCCGTATGTGTTCTGTGGTGGTAAACTAGATGTGGCTTCTGAGTAAATCTCATTCCACATTCACCACATTCAAATGGTTTCTCCCCAGTATGAAGTCTCATGTGCTTTCCTAGATTCGGCTTTGACGTGAAAATCTTCTTGCAGACTGGACATTGAGTAGATAGGTTTCCACAGCACGTCATCACATGAGATCCAAGATCAGATTCAACAGAAAATCTCTTTTTACACTTGGTGCAGTCAAATCCCTGTTTCCCTGTAGAATCTTCATCACGGGTAGGAGGAGAATTTGTTGGATCATTCATGGATTCATCTAGCTCTCTTTCACTCTGGCTACTGTTCTCCATGCTTGGTAGAACTTGGCTGGAGTCTTGAGAGACGGGAGAGATACCTTCTAAAACGGGAAGCCATCCCGATTCAGAATCCTCATGATCTTCCTTCTCTAAATGTTCTCCTTCAGATGCTCCCTCGCTGTCAACCTCTAAACATTCATCCTCTGATAACTGGGATTCTGATATCTTCTCCTGACAGTCCAAATCATCTGAAGCGTTTTTAGAGCTGCAACAAACATCTGGTGAAAAAGGAAGACATAATATTATACGGTATATATGCAATCAGACAAATTATAGATATCAAAAGTAGTTTCTAATTAGTGGGGGTTCAAAAGATCAGAAACAGTGTGTGTATGTGCATCTGTTTTGATGGACATGCTACCCGTTTAATAATGTAATTCATACTCTTGTGTCCACCATGGCCCATACACTATACAGGCCATTTGTAATTGGCACAAATGACCTTTACTGCACATGCACAAATTGTAAATACAAACTGGCTGAATGATAACTGTTCTTTTTTCTTCTACATTTTAATTGTTATTACTGCAAAATTTAAAAAGGACAACATCTTTATTGCCCTTTTTTGTAAATGCAAATAAAAAACAGAGCAATGGCATGCTGATTTTAAAACCTGTAACTTCCTAGTTCCACTCCAACTATAAATGTACTTTTTCAATTTGTTTTATTTATTGGTGTTGCCATTTCATCTCCTCTATTCCAATCTAATATTACATGATTGTCACTTAACTTTAAAATTTTCAAAGCGGTTCTCTCTTCACATGTTTTCCATTCAGGCCTCCATGTGCCTAATTGTAAAATATAACTTTCTCACCATTCTGTTGAAGTGAAGTTTCTTCTATCTCTTCTTCTTTGATAAGGTAAATCTCAAATCCACTTTCAATTTGAACCTTTGGCTGCTCCTCCCTGCTATTCACTGGTTCATCTAAAATATATAATTAGTAAGGATTAAAATGTTACTGACTCTGCATGAATAGGGATTTCCTGGGAAATAAATCCCCTTCACCCTATTTAGCCCGGGCTATTTTGAAACCGCATAACCGGGGGGGGGGGGGGGGGGGGGGGGGGGGGGGGGGCTTCTAAGGCCCCCCATCCCCCCCCTATGATCTCGGCTATTTATGGACCGATTTTGTCCAATCTTGGCGTGTTTGTGTCTTATCATGTACTAATCAAGAATGCTTAGTAAAATTTATGATATACGGTATATCGTTTATTTTAATTTATGTCTAATTAATTATGCAAATATGCAAATTTTTCCAACAAATTTTCATTTTGTCCAGTTTCCCCCTATTTATGGAGAAAATGCAATTAAATTTGGCATGTTTGTAGCTTGACATATAATTTAAAAGATAGGGTAGTCAAATTAATGACATGTATTGAAATTCCATACTTATAATTGTAATTAATTATGAAAATATGCTAATTTTTCTTGAAATTCTAATTTCTTATGTATTTCTTTGTTTTTAAATCTTTTGTTTTTATTGTTTTGTTATCTAGAATAGTTCATGATGGCCAAAAGGGATGTTTTCTGAAGAAAGAGATCACACAAGATCATCGGAAACCATTTTTGGAGCCGTTTTTTGTGTGACATTGGTCACAAATATGTGCTACATCTCCGATACCATACCCCCGATTTTCACAAATCGGGTCTTAAAATGTGCGGGAGATGTCAAAGAAAAACTCATAAAATTTCAGCGCCAGATTTTATTGCGTTAAAAAGTTATCGCAAAAAATGTATAGGGGGGCTTCTAAAGCTCCCCCCCCCCCCCCCCCCCCCCCCCCCCCCCCCCGGGGCTATATAGGGTTAAAAACTATGGGTGGTATTCTCATAAGTTAAGCCGAGACTAAGTCCAGACTAAACAAGAATTTTAGTTCACACTTCTATGGAATGCTAGGTGTCATCTTCCTCCTTCAATATTCATGATAAAGATAATCTACCAAGGACTTCATTGAAATTTAGTCCATAATCATAATATCTTTTTCTTCCCATTTCATTGCAAAATTAAATTTGTGGACACTTTTCATTGCAGGATTAAAATAATCTGTACAAGGTAAATGGGTTGGCAACAGGCACTCCATAAAAGTGTGGACTAACTTAGTACGCACTAACTTAGTACGCGCTACCGGAATACCACCCTATGCCACTTGTATTGTAACAAATTATTCTTTTAGGAGATACATAAACAGAACATTTGGAAATGGGTCACAATGATGATACTCTCCATATTCTAACCCGACCACTTTAAAAACTGTTCCTAGTCAAACTAATGAAAACCATCCCCATTGGACCTTTTTTTTAGTAGAACACCTACATGTATCGCCTCCCCAAGACTTAAAGGTACGTACTGTGTCCCTTTTGCAGCCAACCTCAAATTCTGTAGAACTTTGCAGAATTATGTCCTATCTATGAAATTTAAACGTTAGCAGTGTCCTCATATTCAAATTATGCAAGGAAACCCGTTTACTTGCTAGACTTCACTGTCAGACACTATTGAGTGACTGACTGGCTTTTTTCTTTTTGGTAATAACATACATGAAAAGAGTTGTAAAGGGTACATGAGCATTTGTCTACATCAATAACCCACTTCTTGTGATGGCCAAGATTAAACTGATTGAATCTTTGCGCAGCATAAAACGTTATGACCATTCGGTACAATTGTCTGAAAATCAAGACTTTTACTTTTGGGCTCTATACTTTAGCCCTGAAGTCGATTTGACAACTAATAGTCGTTATTTCCCACTTGAAGACATTTCAAGCCCCACCTTTTTTAGGGAAGTTCTAAATTAGTATTATCTTTCAATGCAGTTGGAATTTAACTTTTTCATTTTTGACCTGCAAATGGGACATGGTACCTTTAATGCATATTCATGACTATTTTTTTGGAAAACCATTTCAAGGCAGTGACCTAAATATAGTTGTGTGCATTCTTACATGTACACATGTATGTGAAGCCAAAGTTTTTACTGGTGCTTGGAAGAAAAATGTATTTTACATAACCCTGTAAGTTGGGGCTCTGATCGGATCGGAAGATCGGAGCGACACCCTCGCACCTTTGATCGGTATCGGATCGGAAGATCGACCAAAAAAATCAGCTGATTTTTAAATATTTTTTTTATGACAAAAAATTTCAAGTTTTTGGTTGTCAAATGCTCAAAAAAATTCATGGCTGGGATTATTTTGTCATTTGGAGTTGTTGTAGACCATGTTGTTGATATTTAGTGCCTTTTCATGACTTTGAAATTAATAATATTGGTCTAAGAGCAGAGGCAAAACATGCGGGCTGCCATCTAGGATTATAATGTACATGTAGGTATGCATTATAATCCACAAATGGCAGCCCGCATGTACTAGCGCCTATTCTGGAATAAGAAAATTCATGCTGTTCTCACTGCAATTTATGAATTCTTAGCCCCGGACTATATGATTAGACAGTGGGCTCCTTACTTCGCATCTGGCCAGCTGCGATACGCTCCATTGCGGGTACCAGACTATTTTTCGTTTCTGTTCTCATTCATTTGCTTGGCACCGCAATTGCGGGGTTAGCAGGAGTTAGCACCACAATTGCGGAGATAGCCCTGATATTTTGCAGGGTTAGTTAACCCCATACTGAGGTGGGCCGGGGGTTAGCCCCTTTGGTAAATACAAGTCTGAACAGAAAGTGGAATAGGCTTAACCCCGTACTATAGGTGGGGCTAAGACCCCCCCCCCCCTTAACCCCTATAGTACGGGGTTAAGCAAAATTTTGCCAGTGTACTCGCTACTAAAAGCGGCCTCGCATCACGCGTTTCTTATCTTACTTCGCTTCGACCCCTCGCATTTTGAGTATGGTGGTGTGACCAAAGTTCGCGCGTGAGCTAAGTTCGCTATCTCAAACAAATCAGTAAGAATAGATTTCAAAAATCTGAAATCACCAATGGAAAGAGGAACACAAAATTACGCAAAGATGAAATTTTCTTTGGAATTGGGTACGAAATTGTGAAGATAAAGACAAAAGATCGGTAAATTTTGCAATCTTTTGCGTCCGTTCCGAAAATGTTCAACTTACCGATAATTAAGGATAATTAAGGGTCTGAAAATCTTCAATTTGAGAGCAGATTTCCTCAAAATTGTAAGTAAAAAGTGGTACCAACTGATTGTATGATATATTGCCTTGCAAATTAGATATGATATTACCTTATTTTTGATCACATTTTTTGATAAATCAACTGTAAACCCCCTTGCGTGAAGTTAGGTCACGTTTTTTTTTTTTGATGAATTTTTTAGATGCAGCGCGCACGCCACGATCGAACATCGAATTTTTAGATCGCGATATCTCCGAAATTCTTCGACGATAAATTTTGTAGTTCCATCATCTGTAGTAAAAAACTTTGCCGTCCATTTTGTTAATAAATGAAATAAATAAATTTTTAGATCGAATATCACATTTTGTAATATGTTCTAAAATGAACGCGAACTTTGGTCACCCCTTCATACGTTGGCTGGCTAGCCTGGCCGCCCTGGCGGCCCTGCCCTGCCCGCCCGCGAATTTTTTTTCCGTAACTCGAGAGAGCAAAAATCCATGTGCGCATGCGCGTGGACTTATGATTTCTCTGCTACTTCCCATACGAATGTACATGTATTCGCATGTACTGTGCACGATTCGCGTTCTACGAGTAAACGATGGCATAGTAGTCCTTCAAACACAGACTCTGATTTGCCAGTTTGACAAATCAATATGCGTATGTGTCGCGATGTGCTTATTCAAGTCTGTGTAGTTGTATGATTCAGACCCAGTAGTGCATATGGAAATACATTGCAACTTGTATAGAATGGTATACACTACCGCTCAAAGGTTTTGGCATCGGTTCCGCTCCGTAAACCGCACCGAACTGTGTATGGTGAACGGCGAGGATCCGTTCACCGTACGCCCAACTTCGGTTCCTCACCGTATGCTCACCGTTTGCTCACCGTACGCTCACCGTTTGCTAACCGAGGAATTGTGGTTAATAACAAAAAGAAATGTGCGCGCTAAGTCTGCGAGCGCGTATCCAAAGAACTCTCAAAAGTTGCACACGCGTACGCGGAAAGTCAGTTATTTGTTTTATTTTATCATACCGATGCGCGCTTGCCACTGACGTCACAATCAGTTTATTATTACATCACAATAGTGTAAAAGAATACTCTTTTCATTCCGAGCATAAACACACGACATAATGATACGAAAATGATTATTTACTTGATATCATTCCCGACAGAATGATACGAAAATGATTATAAAGTTGATTTCATTGCCAAGACAATGATACGAAAATGATTATTTACTTGATTTCATTGCCGACAGAATGATACAAAAATAATTACTTAGTTATTTTTTTGCCGACAGAATGGTTCAAAAATGATTATTTACTTGATGTCATTGTCGAGAGAATGATACAAAAATTATTATTTACTTGATTTCCTTGACGACAAAATGATTAATTAGTTGATTTCATTGGCTAGACATTGATACGAAAATGAATGTTTACTTGATTCCATTGCCGACAGAATGATACGAAAGTGATTAATTAAATGATGTCAATGCCGACAGAATGATACGAAAATGATTATTTACTTGATGTCATTGCCGACAGAATGATACGAAAATGATTACTTAGTTGATTTCATTGGCGACAGAATGATACGAAAATGATTACTTAGTTGATTTCATTGGCTAGACATTGATACGAAATGATTATTTTCTTGATTCCTCAAAACATAAATAAAAATGTGTGTGTTATTGTGAGTGAGTCATGTATGGGGATTTCTATTTTTTGATCTGTATGAATGGAAATTGCCGATTGACTGACTTGATTCCACAAGTTCGGACGTACTGCACATGATGGTCGTTCACCAGACTAGAAAGGGAAAGGTAGCGCGTACATCTACATAGGCTTAGCCAACCAGGCATTGTTTGTAATTAGCTGAAA